CCAGCGGAGAGGGGAGACTGGGGTCCAGCGGGGTAGGGGAGACCGGGGTGCAGCGGAGAGGGGAGACCGGGGCCCAGCGGGGGAGGGGAGACGGGGTCCAGCGGGGGAGGGGAGACCGGGTCCAGCGGGAGAGGGGAGACGGGGTCCTGCAGGGAGGTTGAGCCCTTTTAGCCAGGCTGTCCATGCAGCGGGTTATTGGGGAGGGTCAGCGGGTAGGTGCCTGATGCACCGTCCACTCCTGGCCCAAGGCGACCCACCTGCGGATCCTGCCTGTTCCCGGGGATGTTTCGTGCAGGATCGGGGATTAGGGCGGCCCTCTGAAATGGAAACCAGTGAGGTCGGGGTCCTGGCCAGTGTCCGCAGCCTGCTCCCCACTGGGGGGAGAGTGACCCCCAACCCTAGAGTGATCGTGGAGCTGACGCCAGGGTCCGGCCCTCCCTGCTCGGGCCCCAGGGAGCTGGCACTGGGCACGCCTGGCCGGCCGCCCCGATGAGCAGGGCAGGGTGCAGCGGGTGTGGTGGGAGCCCCGAGAAAGGCCCCTCGCTCGGCCTCCAGGGGTCCGATGCCGACCGGCTGTGCCTCCGTGGGGCGACCAGCCGTCTGGGCTGGGTCCCGTCTGCACAGAGGTACCAGCGGCCCTGCGGCCGGGCGGACACCTGGTTCAGCTGGGCTCTCTCTGGCCCTGATCAGTCCTCCCTGGCTGCCTTCGCCCACCTGCTTCTCTCTTCTCTCGTGTCCTAGCTGAGCCCAAGGACCGACGTCCACCAGGCTGGTTCCGGGCTGCTGCCAGGGCTGCTGGGCTTGGCCAGGGCCCCCACTGGCCACTGGTGGTTCGCTCGTGCCACGCCCAGTCCAGCAGCCCTAGGAGACTCAGCTTAGCTCTGCAGCGGGACTCTGCCCCCGGCACCCGCGGTCAGCACAGCCGTCACTCACCTCTGCTGGGCCCAGCCAGCTGCTGCGGCCGCGTCCTGCAGCCTCTGCGTGTCCACTGCGCTCCGCACAAGCTCCGCGGCTCAAGAAGCCTCGGCGGCTCCAAGGCAGGGCCAGGAGCGCGGGCCCAGGGGAGGCCGCGGCGGCAGGAGGCTCCGGGGACCATTAGCGCGGCGCCAGCGTG